AAACAACAACAGAGTTGGCTATTACAAAAACAATAGCAAAACGATCATAGAAATCAGCCTAAATTTTTCATATGAATGGCAGCAACAAATGGCGAAAAATTCGAGTTGTTGTTTTCTGTTTCGTTCAATTGCCAACTAAGTCAAACAGCAAAATCAGCAGCAACAACAACAACACCAGCAACAAACTATAACAAATGTCAAAGTCAAAATGTCAAATCTTGGTATTGTCAAATTGATTTGAATTATATACGCTTCAGTTTCACGAAAATACCGAAAACCACCAAAAAGAAACAACAACAACTTAGAAATTGTTTGTATAAACAACAACAACAACATGATCGGCATCGAATCGTCGAAGTTGTCAGTCAGTTTAGCCGGAGCTTTGTACTTTTATTGGTTAACAACAATGTTAGCAGTTATGTTCAATGATTTCATTTGATTGGTCGATCCATTCCGTCCGTTGGATGTCCGGTGGTATGGTATGAATGTAGGTATGTATGTATGTGGTCGACAAGCGTTTGAGTAGTCTGTCCATACAGACACGAATTGATGGATCGATGATTGTTATGAACAAAAAAACTAAACAAAATTGTTGAAGGAGATGAGGGGGAAACATGTTTGTTTGGTATGATGTCGGCTTGTACTCTTTTTACCCACACACACACACATTTACTTGAAATTGCTCTTAAATGAGTTTAAAGGGCTTAATTTAAGCCAATTAAGCTGCCAAAAAAGTGAAATTTGCATAAAATACATATTAAACTACAGCTTAAATTATAATGATCCAAGATGCAAATAAATGGATGGAAACATGAAGAATGCAAATATGAACATATTTTAAGGATGTGTAATGTGAATACTTGTGAGTAGTGTTGACTTACACTCATTAAAAAATAACAACTTGTAAAAATATTACTCATCGACAGGATATCTGAAATTTACAAAGACTTTTACCTGTGGCGTTAGGATCTCCAGAACAATAAAGACTTTTACAAAATGACGGCCATAATTTAATAAAGCAGAGGTGGCAACTTTAAATTATTTCCGAATTTGATTATTTGGCCCAAGGACGTACTTAAGGGGACCCCCCCATTCTCGGGGCCAAAACGTGTTTTGACTTAATTCCATGTCCCTACAAAATTTCAAGTGAAAATCTCAAGAACGCTTGAAGATATAACCGATTTATTCTGTCAGCGTCATATGACGGCTGAAGGGCTTCTCAAACTTTAAACGTGTTGTTCTCTAAACGAATGGCGGGCACGATAACTCAAAAACTAATAACCCAATCGATTCCAAATTTTGACACGTTTCTCTGTGAGTGTATAGCTATCGTATGAACTAGCATAAAGCCAATCGGCGAAGAACTTCTTTATTTTTTAACTGGGCTTATGATCAATTAATCATGCCCGCCATCAAAAATAAGGACTTTTCTTTAATTACAAAACACAACAACAAAACAATAACAAAAAATGTTTGTGAACTATTTTTCTTCTCTTTTACATCTTCCAAAAAATATATGCCATGTTACATACCTTAATAATCATTGGTATTGATTTACCAGCCCTTTGAAAATCTCGAAAAATTAAAATGGTGATGGGAGAGGGTGGGGTGTTGTGGGATGTTCCCTTAATAGAGAAATTGAATTTGTTACTGTGAGAATAGTGGATTTTTATACCCTTCACCACACTGTGGTACAGGATATTATGTCTTTGTGCATATGTTTGTAACAGGCAAAAATAATCGAGATAGACCCATGGTTACTTTTGAGAATATGCATAAAATCACATTCTGAGTCGATTTATGCATGTCCGTCCGTCTGTCTATGTTAAATTGTAAACAAAGTACAGGTCGCATTTATGATCCGAATTGGTTGAAATTTGGCACAGCTCATTTGTTTTGTCCAAGGACGAACCCTATTGAAATTGGGAAAAATCGGTTCAGATTTAGATATAGCTCCCATATATATTATCGCCCGATTAAAGGTAAATGGTGTACCAAAGTACATATACATCTTTCGATTTGCACGAAATTGGGCACAGCGCAACGAATAAAGTCTAGGATGATGTGTGCACAGTTTCGTGAAAATCGGTTCAGATTTAGATATAGCTCCCATATATAGTTTCGTCCGATTTAAGGTAAATTGTGTACCAAATTCCCTATTTATCTTTCGATTTGCATGAAATTTGGCATATGAATGTATGCAAAGTTTCGTGAAAATCGGTTCAGATTTTGATATATCTCCCATATATAGTTTCCCCCGATTTTAGGTAAATAGTCCACTAAAGTCCCTATATATCTTTCGATTTGCACGAAGTTTGGCACAGAGTAATTAATAAGGTCTAGAATGATGTATGTTAAGTTTCGTGAAAATCGGTTCAGATTTAGATATAGCTCCCATATATATATTCGTCCGATTTAAGGTAAATGGTGTACCAAAGTCCCTATATATCTTTGGATTTGCACGAAATTTGGCATAGCGTACTGAATTAAGTCTAGAACGATGTGTGTTAAATTTCATGAAAATCGGTTCAGATTTAGATATAGCTCCCATATATATTTTTGTCCGAGTCCAAATTCCCTAAATATGCTTCGATTTGCACGAAATTTGGCACTGCGTACAGAATTAAGTCTAGAATAATGCGTGTTAAATATTGTCAGAATCGGCTCAGATTTAGATATAGCTACCATATATATTTTCGTCCGATTTTTATGTAAATGGTGCACCAAAGTCCCTATATATCTTTCGATTTTCACGAAATTTGGCATAGCGTACTAAATTAAGGCTAGAAAGATGTGTGTTAAATTTCGTGAAAATCGGTTTAGATTTAGATATAGCTCCCGATTTTATGTAAATGGTACACCAAAGTCCCTATATATCTTTCGATTAGCATGAAATTTGGATTCATAAGTAAATGAAGAACTCAAAATGTTACCGAATGCACAAAACATACTGAAATAAGTGTAACGTAACATGTGACAAGTTTCGATGAAATCGGTTAGATTACGATATTTTGCTCCAAATTTATTTACATAATTTTGTCCCATTGTAAGAAGCAACTCTATATCTGACCAAAGATTAGTATAGGTTGACATATTTAATTTCATGTTAATGGTCCTTCAAAAATGCGACGTCTGTTTGGATTCCATCTGTTGAATATACCCAAAGTGGTGAAGTGGTGGTGGTGGTATCTTATAGTCGGCCCTGTCCGACTTTACTACTTTCCTTACTGGTTTTATATTGAATTTATGGATTTTAAAAAAGTTTAATACTTTGTGAGGAAGGTACCAGAAGGTGTGAACCAACGGGTCCCATATTCAAGCCTGATCTATGTAGGGAAATGTATTGTTGTTTGTGCAGGGCTGTAATATATAAACTCTTTGTGGGGGAAGAACTTGAAGGAATGGAACAATAATACCCATCTTCCAATATTATACAGGTATGGTTAAAATATTACATTCTACAAAGTTTACTTCAAATCAGATTGATTTAAGTTTGGAAGAAATATTACGCTGTTTAAAGTTTGGATGAAATTGATTACTCCCTTCTAGAGTCGGCCAGAGAGACAGACAGACGAGGGACATTTATAAATCAACTGCAAATTTTCTGAAATGGATTTGGTCCAAATAAACATGGGGCCTACAACCAATATTCTGAGAGTTTTATGCTTTTGGAGGTATAACCCTTTTTCCTATAATAGCCTTCGTCGTCTCAATAATGTCCGATTCTTTAAAACAATTGTCAAACTTGATAGCATCTTCGAATGCTGTATTTTATTTATAAGTGGAGCTTTCAGCTGCACCAGTTCAGGAATATGATTCCCTTATTCCATATAAGTTTTAGTTTTGAATGAAAATATAATAAGGGGAATCATATCATCATTATATTTTCATTCAAAACTAAAATTGGCAATGGTTACAATGGGTAGAAAACGTCCATTGTATAATGTCGATACAAATCGGAAATTTTCCGAGTCGAAACCGTAACGAGAATTCAAAAAGAAAGAAGAACTAATGTCAACCTGAATATTACATGGAATCAAATCAATTTTTCTTACTTCAAAAGAGAATGTTGTAAAGATGAGACAGATTTTCTCTTTTTTTCACAAACGTTTTCATTTCACTGAATTGATTTTGTAAAAACTTACCCCTCCAATTCCTTCCAGAGATTGTTTGTTTCCGAAAGTCTCCACAAGCCTTTTTAACACATTTTCCTTTCTTCTTCTTTTTCTTTTGACATTAAGACTACCACTTTTTTGGAACTTTTGTTTGCCTGCTCATTGCATGTCGATAAATTTACCCCCCGACATCAATCTATCGTTGTTGAACTCGCCACCAATAAAATTTTGCAGCAGGAGCAGTCACAGCAACAACAAAAATAAACAAGACAACAACACAAAAACGAAAAACTTTATTTTTTTATGATATATAAGAAAAAATTATAATTTATAACTTTTGACACGCCTACTGTGCGCTTGCTCTCTCTCTAAAAAAAAACTTAGCAAAATGTTTGCTGTTATTATTGTTCGGTTTGCTGGTGTTGTTGCTGTTGTTGTCGTTGTTTTGATCCAAATATAGTGATGTAAACAAAAAACAACAAAAACCGGGCTTACTTGCCACATTCTTGTTGTTGGCTGGCAAGAAAATAGTTGTTGTTGTTGCTTGATTTTATACACTTGGCCTAAAGCTGCATATATGCAAATAACCATAACCAAGTTCGAACATATACACCAAGGCAACAGCAGCACCAACAGCCTCAAAAACTATAACAACATCAGCGGCAGCAGACAACAGGCAACAGGCTCTAACAACTACATTTCCTTATAGAAGGAAAGCGACACCAACTGCCAGGGGTTTTTATTCGTTTGTGTGTTAGTATTTGTGCTTTACTTATTTCTTGAAGTAGCTGCAATTGCTGTGTGTGAGTGTGTGTTGTTTTCCTTATCGATGTTTTGGGTTTTTTTCATATTCCTTGATATTCTGTAGCACTTTTTGCATAATTTTTAGCTTAAGGCTAATAAATGCGTTGCAATGTTAACAATAACAGCAACAACAGGAGAAGCAGGAGCTGCAGCACTAGCACCACCATCACCAACTAGAGCCTGCCAGTAGTGAGTAACCTTAGCTAATGTTTTGCTGTTGAGATGCTCAAGATGATGTAGACGTTGCTGCCATAGTTGTTGCTGTTCCTGTTTTGTTTTTCTGTTATATTTCCATAAGACAACTTAGTAAAGACAACAACATTTCTCTGAACATTCTATAGGGTTTGTGTTTTTTGTTTTTGTTGTTGCTAGAATAAATTTTTAGAATAGAGATGTCGATTTTTGTAATACCTGTATCCATAGGAATAAAAGGAGCCTATTTGAAATCGGGACTTTAAATATGTTTAGAAGGAGTCTATTTCAGGACATTATGTCTCGTTTTCCTTCTCCTGTTACTGTAATTAAAATTGCGCACAATTGAAAAGTCGTCGGTCTACACTAGTAGCCAGTAAGGAAAGTAGCAAAGTCGGACGGAGCCGACTATATGATACCCTTCACCACTTAGGGTATATTCAACAGATGAATCCTAACCAGTGTTGCCAATTTAGCACTTTTAGTGCTAGATTTAGCACTTCTTAAGTACCCTATACCAAAACTCGTGCAAATCGAAAGATATATAGGGACTTTGGTGCACCAATTACATAAAATCGGATGAATATATGTATGTATATATATATATTTTCATGATACTTAGCATACATTATTATAGACGCAACTCAGTATGCTATGCCAAATTTCGTGAAAATCGAAAGATATGCAGGGACTTTTGTACACAATTTACCTTAAATCGGACGAAGATATATATGGGAGCTATATCTAAATCTGAACCGATTTCACGAAACTTTACACACATCATTCTAGACTTAATTTATTATGCTGTGCCAAATTTCGTGCAAATTGACAGATATATAGGGACTTTAGTGGACTATTTACCTAAAATCGGGCGAATGTATACATGGGAGCTATATCCAAAACTGAACAGATTTTCATGAAACTAAACACACATCGTTCTAGACTTAATTCAGTACGCTGTGTTAAATTTCGTGCAAATCCGTTGATCTGTCTGTCTATTGTAATTTGTAAAGTACAGACCAAAGTTATGTGCCGATCGTCCGAAAATGTTTAACCCGGTCATCGGAAAATATTTGTTGAAATCCGCTGTCTGTTGGTCCTCCAGAAATATTATTAAATTTTCAAATCTACGACCAGGAACAGTTGTTGTTTTCAATTTCACTAATGACCATAAACAACTTTGTTGGCAAATAAATAAAAAAAACTCTTTTTTAAATGTTCTTGAATAATTGTTCTTAAATAATTGAAACTGATATAGTGATTCATTTTTGCTGTGTAGCAACTACCAAATTAATAAGTAATGTATTTCTACCATAAACATCTAAATCTATAATATAAACTCCTTTCTTCATCCCCTACTCCCTTCAGGTAAATTTATACCCTTCAAAAAATGTCCTTCTTTTTATAAATTCCCACCACGACATCCCAAAATGTTTGCCATTATTCTTGTATATGTAGCTATCATAATCTTTGTTGTCGTTGTATTACTTGAAATATTTCTTCCTATTTTCATTGGACTATTTTAGTTTACCCTCATTTTCTACATCTACTACTTCTTCTTTATTCTTTGTAGCATATCAAAGATCTGCTGTTTTGATCGATTCTTATTGATATGCAAAATAAGAGCATTATATATTTTCTTCCTTTTTGTTCCCGATGTTTTCGTTGGTGTTGTTGTTGGAAAATGCAACAGCAACCAACAACCTTTTGCTTGACCATTGCACCCATATTGCTTGTGGCTTTGGTTAAGATGTTATTTTTGGTTTGTACGAATATATAATTATTGTTTTAGAGGATGAAAGATCAAGTATAGAACAAAAATGTAACTCAAAAAAATAATGTATAAAAATCGAAATATTTGTATGAAATTTTATAAAAATATTTTATATATCCAGGGAAGTTATATAAGAACCTATTAGGAAAGGGCAAAAGTCGAAGTGAATGGACTATATGACACTCTTTAGATATATACAAGAGTGGCTCAAAAAATATAGTTTTGGTAACATAAAAAATATATGTACCGATTCAATCCAATCTTAACAAATGTTCCTCTGTAATGATTTTGCTTGTATGTGTACAATATCCTATCGATCGGGCTACCATTGACATGAAATCATAGGATTTTATATGGGATCTATGCATATGAACCGACTTCAATCAATCCCTATACATGACATTCTGTAATTTGTGCAAAATTCCATTTCAATTTAGTTGCTTAGTTAATCATTTATATGAAATCCGACAAATTTATATTTCTGGCCAAATTTCTTAGAGAAATTTGGCTTTCGAACTCAATAAACAAATTGAAAAGGATTTTGTATAATTCTGAATAAAAATTTAGATTTAAAACTTTTGTAATACTTCCGGACAATAATTTATTGTCTCTCTTTTGTATTTTTTTTTTTTTAATTTCTACACAACGAATAAATTATGTTTTCTAAATCCCATTATTCTTAATTAGTTGTTTTTGTTCTTGTTCTTTCTTAACACACGAGATGAGCTTTAATTAACATGCTTTATAACTTCCTATTAATGTGTCGTCGTTTCGTTTATTTGTGGTCACACCTAAATTTATTTGCCATTGATCTCTTTTTGCTTCATTACACACATAAAACAAAAAAGGAAGGTATCACCTTGTGTTCGTGTCTTAAGTCTTTTGTTTTTTCTTCTTTACACAGCGCCAACTATTAATCTCTACTTAATTGCTCGATTTTCCTTTTGGCTAAAACAATTTCCTTTATTATTTAAAAATAAAACAAAAAAAATCAACAACAGCAAAAAATCCACTTTGGTGAATGGTGTTGGCCACAGAAAAAAAAACTAAACTTTACAAAGTTGCGTCGAACAACAAACAGCCATCAGTGGAAATAGGCAAAAAAAAAAAAAAAAAAATCAACAACAACTAAGAGGATTTACATACATTAGTTGATACATAAATTTAATGTTTTGCATCACCGAGACAACATTAATGCCTTCCTTTGCAGTGTTGTATTGGCTTGGATGGCATGGTTACAACTTAATTTTTACAATTTTTTCTATAAGAAATCGATTGGATAATTTTTTTCTAGAGCGGAATTTTTTGTATAGTTATATTAGAAACAAAAAATAAAAACAGAAAAAATATTTCAAAAGCTTAATGTATTGTAATTAAAACTGTATATATTTTTATTTCTATACCTACATTGTGAGGGTATTAGTTTGGGTGGCCCCAAGAGTTTGTAATGTCACGAAATATTACACATATATTCAAATTTTAGTAAACCCATTGTCATATTTCGACTAGCTGCATCGATCTAGATATATGAGTTCATCCCATCGAATATCCGTCTGTCCATTATATTTGTTATTACATATATATTTTTTGTAATCATTTGTACTTACAAGGATATGGGATAAATTTTCAGCTTACCTGCAATAAAAAATCAAAAAAAATTTTTGAGTATTATATATAAATTTATTATAAACCAGTAAAGAAAATTAGTAAAGTCGGACTTTGACGACTATATGATACCCTTCAACACTTTGGGTATATTGTACATGCGCACCCTTACAATTGCAAGTCAATGTTACCTCGAAGGAACATATTCATTTATTTCTGCAGCCTATGATACATTTAATTCAAATTTATGGAAAACGATTTATAGTAAAATTCATACACGCTATTCGGTACGTCGCACTGTTAAAAATTTAATTTCAATCAGGCACCATTTCGAAATGTATATGGAAGCTATGGCTGCATCTGCACCAATTTCAGCAAAACGCAATAACGTCATTCAAGTCTCAATTTGGTACGTTGTGCAAAATTTCGTGTTAATCGGACAAACATTTGGAGTTTGGAGCTGTGCCGAATTTCGTGCAAATCGAAAGAAATGAAGGGAATTCGATGCACCATATATATATATATATATATATAATCCGACGCAAATATATATAGGAGTTTTATCTAAAATTGAAACGATTTTCCCGAAACTTACTATTCACAATTCTAGACTCAATTAATTACGCTATGCCAAATTTCGTGCAAATAAAGGGACTTTGGTGTACTATTTACCTAAAATCGGACGAAAATATATATGGGAGCTATATTTGTATATATCCAGGAGAATAATATAAGAACCTATAAGAAGGTCGAACTATATGACACCCTTTGGATATATACAAGAGGGGCTCCGAAGATAGCTTTGGTAACATAAAAAAATCCAAGCCTTTTGTTTAGAAAATTATAGTGATGGTCTCGTAAAAATATGACAACAAAATATACTTTAAAAAAACTACACCTTGTGTTGGTCTCATAAAAACCAGAAAGGAAAGTAGTAAAGTCGGACGGGTCCGACTATATAATACCCTTCACCACTATATGTATACTAAAAAGGACAATTAAAATGAAATTGGATGAAATAAAATATGTGATATTTAACTAAACCCAGCAAACAAATTTCGTGCAAATAAAGGGACTTTGGTGTACTATTTACCTAAAATCGGACGGAAATATATATGGAAGCTTTATCTAAATCTGCACCGATTTTTACGAAACTTAACACACATCACTCTTGACTTCATTCAGGCTTAATTCAGTACGCTGTGCTGAATTTCGTGCAAATCGAAAAATATTTGAGGACTTTGGTGCACCATTTACCTTAAATCGGACGAAAATGTATATGGGAGCTATATCTAAATCTGAACCGATTTTCACGAAACGAAATTTCAATAGGGTTCGTCTTTGGACCAAATAAATGAGTTGTGCCAAATTTCATCCAATTCGAATCATAAATGCGACCTGTACTTTGTTCACAATTTAACATGAACAGACAGACGAACGGACGGACATGCATAAATCTCGTTTCTTTTTGTTTGTTACAAACATATGCACAAATACATAATACCCTGTACCACAGTGTGGTGAAGGGTATACAAATCGAATATATGGACGATTCATACTGAAAATTTGCATTTGATTTCACTCTGGTCCAAGGCGGCAGTTGTTGGTAGTAATCGGATAATTGTTAGGGGATGAAATGGTCACATGTGGAAATTTAACACGGATAAGAATATTTGCTCAACGAATAAGGATGGTT